AGCAGTGATCGACAGCTGATTCTCAACTTTTTCTTTTACCGAATTTTAAAGATACTTTTGCCGAATTTCAAAGATAAATCAATTATACTCTCGCAGATAAATCAAATTGTTATGGTTTGTATGCGTGCTTTTGATTATAAAATCAAAAAAGAATTTTCAACTTAATTCTATTAAAGCAATCAGAACAAAATTTGAACTCGCAGCCGTGTCATAAAGAAGCATGTGCTATTCAAGCATGTCTGCAAAAAAACGATTACCAAGAATCACGCTGCCAAGACGTGATAAACAAACTATTCAAATGTTGCGAAGCATTATTTCAAAGTGGAAAAGAATCTGCTAGTTGTTCGAAGAAGATGCATAAAAGCCATTAAAGTATTTTCGTCTTTCTTCTCGTTGAAATCTAATGTTAATAAATATAATATATAATCATCAAATGTTTGTTCAAAATTCTGGGATACATTGACGAAGGGATAGGTGCACTTTGCGTGCAGGAAAGTACGTATGTACATACGTACGTGCGTATTTATTTATTTTATTATTATTGTCATTGTTATTATTATCATTATCTTTTTTTTTTTTTTTTATTATTACACACGTACGTACGTACGTATGTAGCAAAAATTTTTTTCATTAGAGGCAAAATTCCAATTGTAGTTAGTCATAACCTTACAGATTATACCTATAAACGACAAATTATATATCCATTGTTAAATTCCACCTATGAATTTTATTCTAAGAATTGTGTGGACAAAGGGTGCTGTTTCTTTGGCCTTATGCATGCAGGAGTAAGGGCGCAGATGGATAATGTAGTATCGCTCGGAGCACATCTCAAGGTGTGGATTATGCGTATGTGCAGGTTCTTTTCCTGGTACTTGCTTATTTCAATCGAGTCACTCTTAGATTTTTTATTTTTTAAGTTTGCATTTATTATTTATGATTTATTGTAAATTTGTATCACTAAACTATCGTTTATCCCTTAAATCGTCTTGCAGGCAAATTTGCCTGCAAATTTTACGAGTGGTTTTTGGCAGTATATTTCAAACTTCGTACAATGTTAAATGGTTTAAGGGATACGTAGTGCAACTCAATTAATATATTAAGTGGCAAATGCAGTATCTTGTGTGGCTGGAATAGCTATAAGTACATAATTTTCTTATTATTCTAATTAATATCGTAGTAATATTTAGATTAGTAGATGTCGGGAAAATAAAAATGAAAACGTTTGAGAATGAAAGTATCGGGGAAATGATTACCAGGTGGGAAGTGTTTTTCGAGGAAATAATATAAGCCACTTGAACTATCAATCAAATCACTAGATATACTTTTGACAGATATCCAAATGTTAAAAAATGTAACGAATATCCAGACTTTTATTTTCTGACCTTTAAGGAATAAATCAAACCAAAGTCCTTTTACAGCTGTTTTCATTATTTTTGGGACATTTGGTAAAAAATAGACCGAATGATTGTTTGGCCGATTCGCTAAGTTATTGGTTTCGGCATGATCAGTGTAACGTTTATTATTTACAGAGATAGTCTAAAGCTAGGTACGTACGTACGTGTACGTTTTAAATTAATTACTAATCGATTTGTAAATTAAAACTCATGCGAAACATATAAAATACTACATAGCTTTAAACGACCTCTATTTTCACGTCTTAACCAGAGCTCCATCTCTGATTGTAACACATAAAAATTTTAGTCAGGCTTTTCTTCAATTAAAGTCTTAAGATATTTTATATCATTCAGGTTTAATAGGCGTGGTTTTCTTACTAGGGATGCTAATCGGTCTCGCAGTAATTATCAGTTGACTTTGAATAAGACATGTAGAAAATTGATATTTTTAACTAGTATTCGTTCAATAAGTAAAGTTATAGAAAAGTTATTTCTCTATAAAAGTTTATCGGCTTTTGCATTAGTTTTTGAGTAATTTAGATGGGACCGATTAGGGACCGAACAGTGGAGAAAATTTTGTTGATCGGTCCCTAATCGGTCCCATCTAGATTAATGCAAAAGCGAAATAACTTTTCTATAATTTTACTTATTGAACGAATACTAGTTAAAAATATCAATTTTTACAAATCTTGCTCAAAATAGTGATACAAATCGAAAATCGAATTGATTAGTTGTAAAATTGACAACTAATCGATTTGAATTTTACAGACCCAACTTAGTCAATTAATCGATTAGTCGACTAATCAATTAATCGATTGGCCAACTAATTGATTAATCGATTAGTCGATTGGTCAATTATTGTGGTTTGCATAATTTTGTGACCCTCTATGATTACAGAATTAATTTTTTTTAATGATTAAATGATTGTGATTGTGATCATGATTGTTAAAGCCGACCAATTTATCATAAATCCAAGTTTGTGTCAAACTCAGATATATGATAAATTGGCTAGCTTTAGCAATTGTTTTTTTTTTTTTTTTTTTTTAAAGTGAGGTTTTGCCTTTATCTTTATTTAATAATTTGTATTGAGAATCCACTAGAGGTTTCTCTGGTCTATAAGACCAATAATTACAAATAT